CTTTTTGTCTTTTTTTACTGACCGGTAACGGGATCGCAACCCTCGGTGTCGCGCCCACACCCGTACCAGGGACCGGCAACGGGATCGCAACCCTTGGTGCTGTGCGCACACCGCGCCCAGCCAGTGAGCGGGAACCGGTCTCCACATGGGACCCGAACCCTCGGCGGGAGCGCCGCCGCGCTCCCAAGCGGTGCACTCTCCAGTGCGCCACCGGGCCGGCCCATAACAAGACATTTTGACATCATGTACATATGACATGATACTCTGAGAAGGCACTTCTGTGATATTCTTGCAAAAATGCATAATCTCAATCTAATTGTGAGAAAGCATCAAACAAACCCACATTGAGAGATATTCTACAAAACAACTGACCAGTACTCATCAAAAGTGTCCAGGTCATAAGAAGACAAGGAAAGACTGAAGAACTGTCATACATTGGAGGATACTAAGAAGGCACAACAACTAAATGCAATGTGGGATCCTGGAACAGAAAAAAGGACAATAGGGGAAAATGTGAAGTTTGAGTAACATGTGTAGCTTAGTTCATAATGTGGAATCAATGTTAATTTCCTGGTTTTTATAACTGTACTATGGTTATGTAATCCAGATCATTCCCAGGGATTTTTTTAACTGGAATAAACTGGATAGACCATCTCGCCACTTGGGTGACAGAGCTGCAGACATTAATCTTGGAATACCGGCATTCGTGGGTTCTGCATGTGGAAAAGTGGGAATGAATGAGCCTAATACTAGGAGAAACAGAGAGACAGAAACTGAAAGGGACTGAAAGCATTATAATCTCTGGATCCAGTAGTTTCTAGACCAGACCCACCCTGCCCATAGTTTAGTTATATGAGCCAACATTTTTCCCTTTTTGCTAAAGCTAACATAGTCTGGGTTTCAGTCACAGTGAAAAAGTCCTAATTTCTTTTCTTTTTTTTTTAAAGATGACCAGTAAGGGGATCTTAACCCTTGACTTGGTGTTGTCAGCACCACGCTCTTAACCCTTGACTTGGTGTTGTCAGCACCACGCTCTCCCAAGTGAGCCACAGGCTGGCACCTAAAAAAGTCCTAATTTCTAATCAAAAATGAATTTATCATGCTGATACCTGTAACATATCCTTTAAAGAACTCTTAAGCAGCAACTTTCATATAAAGTCAACACAAGAATATAAGAAAATAAGGAAAGCTTAATGAGTAGATTTGTTATGTGCAATACACTGTCTTCTCTGACTCTCCTCATATTCCTTTGAGAAAGGTAAAGAAATACACCAAAGACATCTTGAAACAGTCCTCCAGCTCAAAAGGAAATAAAGCAAGTTCATTTGTGGTAGAAGGGGAGGTTAACCCTTTGCCAAGAGGCCTGTATCCACCCCAGATATATCTCTATGAAACAGTAAAACTGCTATACACCAACTTAAATAAATCAAGTTAATTTTATACTAACCTCAGTTTCAACTGCTATCTCATACTTGGACTTCTTACCCGGCATAGTTCGAATCAGATTCAATAGGCCATCTTCATCAATAATTTTTGTCCCCAAGGCTGCTGCCTGTTGATTAAAAATGCAAATCATCAAAACTGCATCCTAACCATTCCTTTCCATTAAAAAAAAAAAAAAGATTCTAGCACCTATTAGAAGTTTAAAAATCACATTTGCAAATTAGTTAACACTGTAATACCAAACAACACATTCATTGAAAAAGTACCATTTAAAAAAAGAAAATGACAAATATATTCCCTAAGAGTAGTGGGCTGGCACCAGAAGGGTCACATTACTATTTTTATGGATTGCTTTACCTTTCCTCCACTAGAAGGGGGCAAAGCCACTACTGCCTAGGTCCAGCTCTCCACAACATCTCCCATGTTGGAATCATATGGCAGACATTTTCTGTCACCCCTGCTAACAGAACTCCAATGTGTCCACCTCCAAGTGACAGATTATAACTGTTCTAAGACAATCAGTAAAGTCCTTATCCTCCCCAACCTCCCTCTGAATGGCCATTTGACAGCTCTGGCCAATGAGACTTAAGTGGAATTCTACAAGATGAGGTGTTTCTTGTCAGGCCAGTCAGCTATTATGACATCTTGCCACTGTTCCCTTTTTCCTGCCTCAAATAGGGACTCAAATGCCTAGAGCTGCAGCTACCTTGCAACCACAAGGCAACAAGCATGGAAACTAAAGCCAACACAATAAGGACGAAAAAGGTAGAGGACAGAACTAGCCTAGCTACCTCACTGAGCTGCTGAACCACCCCCAGCAGCTGCCCACCTCTGGAATTCTTGTTAGTGAGAAAAACAAGCAGCTATGTGTTTAAACCATGGTTAGTTGGGTTTCTGTTACTCAGAGCTAAACACAATTCCACCGGACAGATCCCTGATTATGCCCCTAAGAGCTTTCCAAAAAAAAAAAAAAACTTAAGATGGAGTCTACAGTGGCATATATAAGAACACTTAGGACTAGAAGAAAAAGAAAACTGCATTTGTTTCTACATTCCATCTAAGACTTTAGAATACACTAAGAAAGTCAAGTAAACAGGAATTTGCCTACAGCTGGAAAACCAAAATCCTGGGGTCAGAGCCAACAACACTTCCATGGAGAAGAAATAATGTAGAGAAGAAATTACTTTTCCATTTTTCTTCACTTAACTCTGTGTAAAGGGCATTACTACAAATGGTCACATTGAGAGAGTGCCACGGCAAGCAGGCTGTCACTGTGGAGAACACAGCAGTACCCACCTTATCACTCTTGGACTGTCCACTATCACGACCCATGACAAGATAGTTTGTTTTCTTGCTGACATTTCCTGTTACTTTCCCCCCATAGCGTTCAATTAAAGACTTGGCCTCATCTCGTTCAATGGACTCCAGCACGCCTGTGATTACAAATATAAGACCTTCCAAGCAATTTTCAGCTCCCTGAAAACCAAAATGTTCAAGCAGAGAGGAAATTACATGGTGGCTTATTCCACCGGACAGATCCCTGATTATGCCCCTAAGAGCTTTCCAAAAAAAAAAAAAAACTTAAGATGGAGTCTACAGTGGCATATATAAGAACACTTAGGACTAGAAGAAAAAGAAAACTGCATTTGTTTCTACATTCCATCTAAGACTTTAGAATACACTAAGAAAGTCAAGTAAACAGGAATTTGCCTACAGCTAGAAAACCAAAATCCTGGGGTCAGAGCCAACAACACTTCCATGGAGAAGAAATAATGTAGAGAAGAAATTACTTTTCCATTTTTCTTCACTTAACTCTGTGTAAAGGGCATTACTACAAATGGTCACATTGAGAGAGTGCCACGGCAAGCAGGCTGTCACTGTGGAGAACACAGCAGTACCCACCTTATCACTCTTGGACTGTCCACTATCACGACCCATGACAAGATAGTTTGTTTTCTTGCTGACATTTCCTGTTACTTTCCCCCCATAGCGTTCAATTAAAGACTTGGCCTCATCTCGTTCAATGGACTCCAGCACGCCTGTGATTACAAATATAAGACCTTCCAAGCAATTTTCAGCTCCCTGAAAACCAAAATGTTCAAGCAGAGAGGAAATTACATGGTGGCTTTCCAAAGAAATATTTGGCATCAAAACTGCAAGAAGGTGTTTTTTCTCATTTCACATCATAAATAATCTCAGCATGAAAAAAATTGCTGAAAATTTACAGCAAATAAGCAGAAGCTGAAATTAAATCCCAAAAAATTCTTATGTAGCTTATATTTAATAAACTTATAAAGCAAGCACTGAAAAATATATATCCAATACTATTAGCAAAGCTTAATAAAATTACCCATTCATAATATTTTCCATCATATTCTTTTCATATTTAAACTACTAGATAACTTGCAAAACTTTTTTTTTTAATTAATAATATTCATGAGATACAAAGCTAATTGTCACCCCTTACACCCATGATGTGAGGGCCAGATTCACAGTGGGGTCATACCCATTACCAGAAATTACTTTTGTACCCTGTGTCCCCACCCAATAAGTAAACAACCGAATGCAATCCAACTACGGAAATTCTTGATATTGTTAAAAAGGCAAAGTCTTGATTCTGAAAAGCTAAACAAGCATAAGCTCCTGCCCTTCTGTCTGCTGATTACTGTATGACAGTAAATCTACTTAAAGACAAGATCGTATTGTCCCTTGATTGGAAAGATAACTCTGACAATACAAGAGACACTGGCCAACGAGACCTGGATGTGAAAGACATTTAATCTTAATTAGAAGTGTGTATCGTTATGGGCTTTTTCATTTTTGCAATGGTTCAATAAAATTATACAACCAAGCAAAATTAGAATGAAAATTATATATGACATTCCAAGTTACTCTGAATAGAGAATTGAGATCAACACAGACTTAAAACAGGCATGAAAAGAAGCTTAAACAAAATTCAAAAACCACTCCAAATTAGAATGAAAATTATATATGACATTCCAAGTTACTCTGAATAGAGAATTGAGATCAACACTGACTTAAAACAGGCATGAAAAGAAGCTTAAACAAAATTCAAAAACCACTCCAGTACAAGTTTCATCCTTCACCATTCAGGTGAAGAATCTTTTTTGGAAGACAAAAAGAAATAGCTATAAATCTGCTTGGGAAAAAAAGGTTTGACTAAAACATCTCAAGGTTTCTTCAAATCCTATGGTTCTAGGATTCAAATGATCTATTGTAACACTACAGGTACTTAAATTCTTTTCAACAAATTTAAAGTAACGCTGGAAAACTGCACACGCAAGCCCCTATATTCCACATCCCAATCATCATTTATCTCCTGAATTAACAGCCACTATGGCTCTGAAGATTTTTTTACTTATGCGATCTCATCACATCCAGCCTCCCTACCAAACGCTTCCATTCTAGAATGCCCCTACAGCTCTTAATCCAGGAGCAGCAAACCACCCAATATCCGCAACCTCTTCCCAGCACTCCTACCACAGCCTTGCCTTCACTGAAACCTGGCTCTGCCCTAAGACCACACTGCCTGAAGTCCTCTCAAGCAGAGGCTTGTTTGTTTAGTCTTTCATACACCATGTATAGGAAGCAAGATTGGCATCTTCCTCTCACCACCGATACAACCCACTAGCCCCCTGAAGTTCATCCCTTCCCCCAACCCCACCTCCATCCCAGCTACACCATCCTTTCCTTCCCTTTATTAAGGGAACTACTAACATCAAAATGTAGTTATGTATATCAAGTAAAATGAAAATTAAATTTATATATACATTGTATATGTATCCCCTCCCATCCCACCTTTTCAGAAATTTCATACTACTTTTGATTATCCTGCCCTTTCTGGTATATCTTCAATCCCTCCTTTCTGGTAAGATCTATCCCGTCATCAAAAAGCATGTTTTTAAGTTATCTCCTAACTGAAAAATATTTGTATTTTCTCCCTAAATCCCACCTTCCATTTCTAGCAGAAGTCCTCTCTCCCCTTTTCCCTTCACAACCAAACTTATCAAACATACTATTATGCTGTCTCCATTTTATCTCCTCCCACTTACTCTTCAACCCACTTCCATCAGGCTCTGCCCTCCACTGTTCTATTGAAATTGCTCTTGCAAAGGTCACTAAGGACCATTATTCGTGTTTCTAAACGGAATGGACAATTTTCAGTCTCTCCTCACTTGGAATCTTAGCAACATGACAGAATCAACTCAATCATTTAAAAAATATTCTATCTTCCCTTTGCTTCTGTGATACTACACTTACCAGACTTCTTTCCTACATTGTGGCTGCTGCTTCTCGGTCTCCTTTTGGTTTTCACCCTCCACGGGGGCCCTCTTCTCTTCTCATTCTCTTCTAGTTTGCCCAATGATATCCCTTCAAATCTTAGCTACATGCCAATAATGCCCACCTTTTTACATTCAGTCTTGACTTCTGTTCTGAGCTCCAGTCCTGCACACCTACTTGGCTCTTCAGCATCTCCATGATGCCATCAACCAACTCATCACCATCTCCCCAAACTGCTCTAATAACTCCACCAGCATCAGCATCCATCCAGCACACCAGTAACCGGGGGATCAACCCTGACACTCATTCTTTCTCACTTCCCACTTATAATTATCACCAAGTCCTCTTCCACTGAAACCACTTCACTTATCAGCACATTCACTGCTTCCTCCCTTCTCCACAAGTCCCTGTCATTTCTCACCATCTCTCCTAACCAATCTCCCTATATCTATCTATTCCTACCCCCTCCATTGCACTCCATACTTGGTAGCCAGACTGATCTTTCAGAAGTGCAAAACTAGTTATGTTATTCCCCACTCAAACTCCTTCTCTCAGGCAAAAGTCCCAAACATTAAGCCCTGCAAGATGTGGCCCTACAAACCTCTTCAGCCACTCTCTTCTCTTGGTCACTATGCTCCAACTAGATCACTTTTCCTTTAGTTCCTCAAACGTACCATGTTTGATGTTTCCTTCCCCTCAGAAACATCTCACATTCTGCCCCTCTGCCCGGATCACCATGCCATCACAACCCCCTCGCACCCACGAATCCTTTTCATGCATCAAGTCTTCATTTAAATGTCACTTATTCTACAAGCCCCACCCAGGGCCAGGTTCCTCTGTTACACAGCAGCCAGCCCCCTCTTATCCGTAGAGGATACATTCCAAGACCCCCATAGATGCTTGAAACCTCAGACATCACCGAACGTGGAACTATCAGAACACACTTCTGTTTCATGTCTTCCACCCACAGATTTAATGCTTTTTCTATCTTAACTGGCAGTAACTTCTGCAGTTTGAGGTGCAGCAGCAAAACTAGGACGAATTTCTTCTTCTTTCTTCACAATTTCACAGATAGAAGACCTTACCAACCTTAGCACACAATTTTTTTCCTTTCCTTATTAAGTCAAGAACTTTCAACTTTTCCCTTAAAGGAAGCACTTTACAGCTTTTCTTCGGCATATATGAATTGCCAGCATTACTACTCTTGCACCTTGGGGCCATTGTGAAGTAAAATGAGGGGCACTTGAACACAAGCACTGTGATACCACCACAGTCAATGTGATAACCTAGACGGGCTACTTAGTGACCGATGGGCAGAGAGTGTAGACACACCAGCCAGAGGGATGATTCACATCCTGGGTGGGACAGACCAGTGCACAATTTAAAACTTATGAACTATTTCTGGAATTTTCCAATTAATATTTTTGGGCCATGGTTGACCACAGATAACTGATACTGCGGAAAGAGAAACTGGGAACTGAGTGCACCTTGGGTTTTTCCCCTATGGCACATATCAAAATTATAATATAATAGTTTATTAAAGTCTTTCCTTAGGCTATAAGTGCTATGAAGGCAAAGAGCACTAGTCTTGTCACTGGTATATTCTGAAAGCCCAGCCCTTCTAGGGCTACTTGCTCTTTTAAGGAAAATTTTTCTAAGTATCAAGAAGTGATTCATAAAGTGAATAATCATCCGTAATTCACATAGTTGGTCACTAAGGCATTTCTATTATTAGTTTAATTATTAACGCTCTGCTGCTGTAAGTATAATGAATACATGCATAGCCCCAAAAGTACAGGCCCTTACAGAAAGGCATGGCCTCTCAGTACTCTTACCTTTGGTATTTCTTTCGAGCCCAGAGCTTTGGGACCTTCTCGATTTAAATAGCTTCGATAAGCTTGATAATTAGTGCGTTTCTTCTCAGAATCTTCAGGACTTACAGACTTTGGGGAGAGGTAAAGGAAATTAAAGTCATGCGGTTCATGTAAAATTAAAAATATATATCTAGAAATAAACATTAAGTCACTTCTGTATTTTGTCCCGAAATTAACAATTTTAGCTATAGAGGTAATCCCTACCTTACATACTTACAGATGCCTGACTTATAAACATCTCTTCACCAGCTCTCCTCCAAACTTTCCACTCTCGGGCCGAGCCTGTGGCGCACTCGGGAGAGTGTGGCACTGGGAGCGCAGCAGCGCTCCCGCCGCAGGTTCGGATCCTATATAGGGATGACCAGTGCGCTCACAGCGCTCACTGGCTGAGCGCAGTGCGGCCGGTCTCAAAAAGGACAAAAAAAAAAAAAACTTTCCACTCTCTAAAGGCACATACCTCAGGGCAGAGTAGGGGCATAAGCCAAGTTACCAGTTCCAAGCAAAGAATTAGAAAAAGTCTTTTATTTTAGAAATTCACGTGAATTTTAAATTCTATTCCATGATTTCTCCATGTTTATTTCAATGGAAAAATAAATTTTACCCCAAGTAAACCTGATCATCCAAGTACATATCTTGCTTATCCTATGACATTGCACACCCCTAAAACACTACCTTATATCTCTAGAGATATAAGTAAGCACTCCAGTCCGAGAATTAAAGGCTTCACATAAACAGCCAGCTCAAACAAGGACCAAGTTTTGCTCCAAATAACAGACAATTCTGTACGCTACCACTTCCCTTCTATGTTTACTCTCTACCAGTCTATTTCTCTCAGGGGACCTTACAATGGGTATACCTCAGAAAATCCTAGGGAAATTTTTCTAACTATATATCCCTGGACCCACCTCCAAGTTTCTGATTCAGAGATATGGGGTATGGCTAGGACATGTGTATTTGGAGGAAAAAAGTCCTATAAAATTCTGATTTAAGAACCACTATAACAGATCTCCCTACTGGCCAGCTGCCAAAAAAAAAAGAACCACTATAAGATGATCTCTGTTGTTTTTCACACTTCCTATTTTACATTATTTTTAACTTGTAAGCAACCCCGAATCCCTTTGAGAGTAGATAAAATATTACTTCTATATAAGTAAATTATTTAACCAATAAAATAGTTAAGCTGGCTTGGTTTTTTGGGTTTTTTTTAAAGCCCGTCAAATTTAGCAGTAGAGGGTTGTATGCCAACTTCAGTGACACTAATGTTAATAAGTTCTGATAGCCAACTACCATCAGACCAACCTGGTTTGGTTATTTTATGAGCTAAATAAGCCTTTATGGTCTGGTCCTAGAATCTAACCCTACTCTTTAACAATGGTATTCAAACTTTGGTGTGTATCCATACCATATGAAAAGCTTATTAAAATGTAGCTGCCCAACCACATACCCTGAGAAACCATATTTTTAACAAGCTTCACAGGAGAGTCCAACACATACAAACATAGGAAAATTATTCATTCATAACACTAATTCCATGAAAAAAAATTCTAAATTATAAACAACTTATAAAATAACTTTGAAGCACACCCATTATGTAGTCAGAATTATTTGACTGAGATCAATTAAATGTATTACACTTTGATTTCCCAAAACTGCTTACGTAAAAGTTCTCTGAGTTATTTTTATTCCAACTTTGAAAAATACAGTGAAGAATAACAGTATCATTTAAAGATTTCGTCTTCTTTCATAAAAATAGACAGCTTCTATAAACTAAATATGTTTAGTGTTCCTGAAGAAAAACATTCATCCACCAGTTAAGTACTTAGTGGAGAAAAATCTGAGACCAAAAAGTTAATAGTTCCTTTAAGCGCATTTATGAGCATTGCCCACAAACAAAGGCATTTTTGAAATCATCACCATTTCACTGTTCTGCACTAAAAATTAATGGTGATGAGCAGTTAAAATAGACAATATTCTGCTTTTAATTCTAAGTGCCTAAGAGGCATGAAAGAATAGTGGTTTCTCATTATGAATCTAAAGTGGTTCCAAACTGGAGATTCAAAGAGACCATTACCTTCTCAAATATATTTGGAAACAAAGAAAACTTCTGAAAAGTATTCATTATTTCACCATTTTTTCCCTTGAAAATGATTTTAGTATCTCAACATTATTATGTAAAATTAAAAAGGAGCAAATTCAGGACAAATCCAAAAAATTATTTTAATAATAGCTAAAACATATATATATAACACTTATGTATTATGTCCCAGGCACTGCTCTAAGTGGTTTTACATATTAACTGACTGAGTACTATTTTTATCCCTAGTTTACAAATGTGGAAACCAAAGCGCAGAGAGGGTATAACCAGACCGAGGTCACACATCTACTCAGCAGCAGGGCTATGATTTGAAACTAGCTCCAGTCTGTACATGGAGCCACTACGTTACGCAGCTATTTTTGTCTTCAGAGGACCTGAGTTCAAGGCTGGCTCTCCCACTTACTAGCTGGGTGATCTTGGAAAAGTTACTCAAACTTTCAGCCTATTTCCTAATCTTTAAAAGTTGAGTAATAAAAGTAAATACATCACAGAATTGTTGTGAAGATTACATGAGATAACATGTGTAAAGTATTGGCACAATATCTGATACACAGTAACAATAAATGTTAATTTACCTATATTAAAAATCTATATTCTGCAACAGCTTCTAAATAAGATGATATCTTTAAAGTACTATGATGGCATGGTACTGATAACACCAATGTCCAGAGTTCGATCCCCATACCAAATATATAAATAAATAACTATGATTTAAGAAGTTAGAAATAAAATTTGAAAACAAACTCAGACCAACACATAGCCCCCAAATATATACTTTTTAGAAAGTTCCTACCTCTTTTTTAGCTGGAGAACTTTTGGTTTTCTTAGGAGTTTTTGTCTCTCTTTTCAATTCAATGGTATTTTCTTTTATTTTTGAAGCCACAGGCCCTATTTTTTTATAAGGACTCTTTTCTTTTTTTTCCATAAGTACCAGCCTACAATCAGCCTTTAGAAAAGAGGATTCTCCTGTTTTATGAGCTGAAGACATGAAGTATGGCTGAGATTCTTTTGAACTTTCACATTTAGTTTGCTTCCTGGGACTGTAGCTCTTCCTTTCATCTGAAAATTGTTCTGTTTTTACTAAGAAGAAAGAAAAGATTGCAGTTGTTGTTTTTGGAACATATCATCAAATATTAACATTTTCTTCATTTTTCAACTGAGTAATCTTAGTAGAATATAGTATCATATGATGATTTCAAAATGCTTACATTAATACTTTGGTTCTTTAGCTTATACAACACATTTATTTTTAAAATGTAAACATTTGTATATTACTTCTTTGTATAACCAATTCAAATTAAAAGATTTATCTGTTTTTTTTAATATAAACTGCTCATTTCTTAAAATAATACTGTAAAATACATCCAAGGATATAAACTTCATTCCACAGATACGCTCTGAAATGTACACAGAGAAAACTTACTGACTAGAATATGTCATATAAAAATTCTGTTTGTAATACAGCCTGAAAGCCCAAAATTCTGAGATGTCAAAACCAAAAGGTACCATATAAGTACTTACAGTATTAAGACCAACTATATTACTTACAGTATTAAGACCAACTATACTAGCACATGATTTGATATCAGGACCACTAAAGAATAAAACCTACAATCATTACAGGCAACCTTCCAATGATGTGGAAAGCTATGATTCAATTCTATGAGACAATCTCTAACATTAAAAGCTCAAAATATTTAGTTCTTTGTCTTCATATATTGAAGCCCATATGTTGCACTTTACTCCAAAAATAACAAGCCAGGAGCTGTAACACATTTCTCACAACAATCACAGAGCAGGTGAGCATTCTACACCAGCTAGTATCCAAATAGTTTGCATCTAAGTAGAACATGCTCTAATAGTCCTATGAAATAATGTCTACCTAACAATACAATTATTGAATAGAATGTTTAAACGTTATCATGAGGGCTGGCTGGTTAGCTCACTTGGTTAGAGCACAGTGCTGGTAACCCCAAGGTCAAGGGTTCAGATCCCCATACCGGCCAGCTGTCCTGCCACCCCCCAAAAAAGTTGCCATGAATTTTCTTCTATAAAGATAAGTGTCCCCTATAGTAATCAAGACACTGTGATACTGGTATAAAGATAAGCAAATTTGTCAATAGAACCTACGAGAGAAATTAAAGAATAGTTTTTTCAACAGATGGTACTAAAACAATTGAATAATCATGTACAAAAAAAAGACAAATGTTCCATCTTACTTTTTTTCTGCTAGTATTACCTTTATGAGGATATTTATATTTCTCTGCTTTACCCAAGTTGGGTTGGACAGATGAAAATGTTTCTCCTTCTTCTGTGTCCTTTCGAGCCTAAACAAATTTAAAAAGTGTCAAATGTGACAAAAATTAGAAAAACTGCCACAAAATCTGTTGTTAAAATTGATTAAAGTTTTAATTTTAAGTTTAAGAGTCACCTTCCAAACTAGCAGGACACTACCATAAACTGTCATTCATTCACTCACAAAATTTCCAGGGCAAAAGAACCATCATTTTACAGGTGAGAAAACAGATGAAAGGGTATAAAAAAATACATTTATAAAAAATTATCCCAGTTCATCCCAACCTGAGAATCTGAAAATGGAAACCTTATTTCTGCTTCTTTCATCTCAACTCTCAAATTGTTAGTATTATGCAGTTAAAAACTAAAATCTAAACCAAAAAGACTAAAATGAAAACAAATTAATGCTTGAATTAAAAATAAGAGAGCACTGTCTCAAAACAGAAAAAAAATATATCCATTTCCTCCATTGCTCCCTCAGAATTCCATTTTATAAAGAGGTCAAAATTGGGAGGCATAACATAGTATTTTTTAAAACAATTATGATTTACATGTCCTTATGTGGAGTAAAGTTTTTCAAAATGACAAAGTCCCCACCACTCCCTATTGCCTTATACCTGCCTGCTTAGTCATGGCCCCTGGTAGTAACTAAGTTTACAACTCCCTGCTTTAAAGGAAAAAAGTAAAATCTTTTAAAATAGTCAAATATTAATACTAACAATTATATTAACAGAATGTGATTCATCAGAAACAAAACTAATCTACTGGAAATCAAATGCTTAAAAAAAATCTTGATGCTTTTAAAGATTCCCAAAAATATACTATTATTTGAGACTGTCCTAATATAATACACATCTTAAAGTTAGCTAATTAGGGCCGGCCCAGTGGCGCACTGCGCTAGTGCGCCGCTTGGGAGGCGTGGCGGCGCTCCCGCCGAGGGTTCGGATCCCACATGCAGACCG